CAATACATATCCAATGTCCCCATGTCTAATGTCAACCCTGATTGTCATTATTGTTTTTTTGTTATTTAAGTGAAGAAGAAACTTCATTATATTCACAGTTGTCGTCACCAATGCTGTAGCCCTAATATCAAAGTTCCTAAACGGCTTCGGGAGATAGCTTACTCTAAGCCTAATACTAAACCCTTACCCTTACCCTAAACTTAAACTTTTACCTTAAACTTAAACCAAACCTTAAACCAAACCCACGCTAAACTAGTCTCGGTTTATTTTTTCGCTAAAGAAGTTCTGGTCACAGCATTGGCCATCATATTTATCACACTTTAACCAAACAAAGAATATAATTAATATATTTGAACCCAAGCATGTGTTATTATTATCATATAAAATATATAAAAATGAATTTATAATATTTTAAATTATTAATATAAATTTTTTTCAATAGAGATAAAAAAAGCATTATCCAACATAAGAAAAAAAACCATAACACAATAACGCGCAGGAACATGAAAACTTTCTTTTTATTTCCAATTAATGAGACAACAGGTTTATTGTGTCAATCGGATTATCATTAAGAATCGAGACGCAGTTAATTTAGATTTTTCTTGAAACTTTTCCTGCAGCCATCAATTTTCATTAGAACTATTTTTAAATTACAAAAGCCCATTGCAAACAAACTAAAATCACCTACCAGCATTTCATTCACCGTATTTGGCTTAAGAACTATATCCACTTTGCATAATAAAATTTCCTTAAAAGCAAAGGATGTAGCAGATAGTATCATTTTCATGTAACCTATTTATTTTTTTTTAATTGATTAATTAATTACAATTGATTGCTTTGCGAAAAATCAACAACAATGTAATTAATGTTATTTATAATGTTCTTTATAATAATCATGATGATGACGATGTGGATGTCAATGAATTGATTTTTTTGGAAATTTCTTTGTTATTTTTTAATTTCAATAACTTATGCACACAATCAATTTTTCTCAACATCAATGTAATCAAAAATCCATTGTCGGAACTTCGCGCAAAAAAGTAGCTATTCGATTAAAAATAAAATCATTGAAATCTATGAGTACATAATAATAATAAAAGGTGGGGAATGATACAATACTTTTTGTTCCACTACATGGAAAATTTTTTATCTGCAGATAGGGAAAATTTAATATATATATTTTTCTAGTTGTATTAATATTGAATGGAAAAGGCTTTACTTGATGGGATGCTATGACCACTCATTCGCAGACGGATCGTCAATTAAAGCTCGTTTCATAAATCCATTTAATTTTTAAAATTTTTTAAAAACAAGCAACACACAAAATTGTTAGTTTAAAAAAAGAACTTTGTCTTCGAAAAATACATTGGTAGTGTGATAGAATGGAGAAATATTGCAAAATGCGAGCTTTGATAATAGTGTAGGAAGTGGTGCGCGGTGCCCATATTGTTCAAACTGTATGCGTAGAACACTATTCATCCGTGAGTTGCACTGCTGGAATGCGCGAGGCTTTATAATATAAAATCGGACATCTAGTGGTTACAAAATCAAAAGATAAAATTATGTGTGTACTTGTAAGAAGACTCACATCTATCCAAGCTTGGTTTGGAGCTCGACATCTACTAACCTAGCATCAAACTTTGCGATTGGGTTCAGGGCCGATAAAATAGAAGTTACGTATAGTTCGCATCTCCATGAAATTTTGGAAGATTTACACAAACAACTTGAATGGAGGAAATCAGGGCAAGAAAGATTCTCAAGATTAGTTTAATTGAAAAGACTCTACCCATTAGACTTGGGATTCACAATGACATATTAATATTAAATTTATCTAAATGAACTTGTAAAATTAAAAATACTGCAGAGATTTCACAGCTATAAATTCTAAAGGGTCAAGACTATTTTCTTTATAAAATTCAATAATTGTTAATTTTATCACCATTTCCTTCTTCCAAGGAATCTAAATTTATTTATAGTCCATAGCTATTGATCTCATTGCCATCACCATTGAGCGTTTCAATTTCAATCAATCTTTCATTCTTTCGAAATATTTTACTAAAACTTTTGATAAATTTATTAATTAGCAAAATATGCTGAATAATACAAGAAATTATTTAGTAAACAATGGTCGTCTTCTTGTATGTCAAAAGTTTATAACAATAATATTATATCCTTATTAGTAGAAGCAAGTTATAAATCGGTGTACAGAGAGGCCTGGAAGAAGATAGCGATTTGAAATGATTTCGTAAATTATAACATCAATTGGCAATTCAGTGAATTATTCGTTAACCAGAGATACCAGCACACAGAGTATTGTAGAGAGTGTTAATGCTATGGTTTATTCTACCACATTCTGATCAACAGATCTATTATCTTAGTCCTCATCTCTTTGGGATGCAACCCCGAGAACAAATCAACTATGTTCTTGATATAATTAAGAAGTTAAAAGTATCTGGAGATTGTCTGGTGGGCAAGATAAAAATAATATAACTATTTGGTTTTAGTAATTTGTAATTATTATGAAAGTACTCCATGATCATGCCGTAGATACATGAAAGATCTAGTACTACCGGGTTGAATAAATCTCAATGATATATGATCAAAGACTTATTATTTCCAATATTGAAGCATACTCTTTTCTGGGTCACAAGCGTCAAGAATATCTTTGCAATAATATTCGCCCTTTGTCATGTATGAATTTAAAGATACCACTTTATTGTTATTTCTATTTTTTGTTTTTAAATTACTTTTCTTTTTAGTAAATTTCATAGATAATTCTCTCTTTCCTTGGGCAATCCGCGAAATATCAAAGGAATAATCGAAGTTAGCAAGGAATTCTCTGAATTTTTGCAATATGATTTTACCATTTCCGATAAATATTGGTTATTTCAGCAAATAATATTTTGAAAATGCGAAGAGATCATTTTGCTGCTTTGAAGACTACTTTACTAATGAAACTGACTTATTTAATTACACCAATAAATTGAAAACCTTTAGAAATTGAATAACTCCATAAATGACATCAGGCTTGGACATAGATCAAAGTGAAATTAAAGGTATATTATCTATACATTGTTCTGGACTAATTAAGATCCATCTAACTAAGATTGAGTCAATAAATTAATCAAGATTTAATTTGATTCGATTCAGATCTGTATTACACTTCCCAATACATACAGAATATACATATAGAAAGCATATGGTATAGGTAGACGCCTCTACATTTTTCTGTATTAAAATGCATTTTCATTATTGTGTACGGAAAGGATTCTGGACAATAACGTGAAAAAAGCAACTTCAACCGCTCCTATATGTAGCTCTTATGTAGAATATTTTGGCTTAGAAACTATATCTGCTTTGCATAATATTATTTTGAGTTAAAGTTTCAACAACCATTTTTTTCGGATTTTTCAAAATGTCCTTTTTTATTTTCCCAGGCCAAAAATATTTCCGTATGTATTTATTCCACATCTATCAAGCATTATTATATACATAATTTTTTATAGGGAGCATAGATTTATTTATTTTATTCTAGTTATACATAATTATAAGCACATTGTTGTTATTATTATTATTATATCAATTAAAAAATCCGGTTCGAATCGAATCGAGCCCAGCCTTTTTGAATTCGAATCATGATTCGACTCGATTCGTTCGGAGCCTTAGTCGAGGAGCAAATAAGATGAGAGCCAATAGAATTTTTCAAAAATCAGAGAGAAACGAATGAAATAGAATGTGATGAGGAACAGTGTTGGAATTGGACCTGGTCCAATTGGACATATTTCCAATTGGAGATTGTTTCACTGATTATTATTATTATTATTATTATTATTTATTATTATATCACAATTTCAAATGAAAAGGCTAATAAATCTAGTTGTTATGCTTTTTGTAACAAATACTACAATTTTTAAGGAAGAACATAAAAGTGAAACAATTTGTTTTTCCTGCAATATGAGAATGGTGCATTTTTATTTATCAAAATAAATATATTTATTAAGCAATAAAATGGTGAAAAAAGCAATTTTGAGTTAATACCATTCATGTAAAATACATATTCAAAGTTGAATTTAGTTATGATGTGTTACACACATATATATGACAAGGAAAGAAGATCACAAGAAAATAAACTAATCAATCGCAGACAACATGACCAGAAACTAAAAATGAACAAAAAGCAAAAAAAGAAGAGCAAACAATCCATCAAAAATTAAAGAATAATATATCACACCGAATTTGAAACAATGAATAAGGAAATATTCCCAAAGAAACAATTGGGAAATCAGATTCAACGAATTCAAAAAGTCCAAACAACCAAGTCAAGGCCAAAGTCAAAGAAGAATGTATTTTTTGCCCTTGAATTGATTACACCAGTTATTCTATATTAATATGGAGGATATAAAGAATGTTCACATCGTGTGGATGATGAATGATGTTAATCCCTGTAATTTCTTTATAATGTGTTAAATGAGATAATTCTATCGATGATTATTATATAAACTACTTTTTATATTTAAATGATTGATATATTGGCAAGGGGGAAGGAGGATAAAGTAAATAAATGTTTCAATTAGTTATAATTATCAATGATTTTAAATCAATAATCTTTATATAAATATGATATATTTGTTCTCTCGAAGGTTCATTTAGTTTCAAATGATGTAATAAATGATGATAAAATTTTTAGACTTTTTAATTGTTGGAATTTATAATTTTTACCTGCACAATAATTACATCACAAAAAATTTTCCAATTTAATAGGTTATTTTCTTTTATGGGAAAATCCCATTCGGGTTTTAAACATTCAATTTTTTCTTTCTTCCTTAAAAATCTTTTGAAAAAAAAATTTTTTTATTTTATATGATATAAATAATTTTTTCTAACATACGTTTAATTTAACACGTCGTAATTTTTGAAAAAAAAATTCATATTTTGGAATTATTCTTTTTTTTCTCGGTAGACATAACAACCACAACCACAACTATAATAATCAAAAAATGATGAGTATTTCTAGTATCTTAAACAGTATATCTTCTGATAGAATTGACAATGAAAGTAGTAGTAACATAATCAGTAGCAGTAAGCTTAGTGGTAATGATAATATCTATAATAGTGCTATTGTTAGTAGCAGTGAGAACAGTAGCATTATTATTAATAGTCTTGATAATAGTTTTAATATTGGTAATAGTAGCACGAGTGGTTTTGATAATATCAATAATTCAAACGGTATGATTAATGCTCGAGTTGGTAATAATAATATTGATAATAATGATTATTATCATCACAATGACACGGAAATCGACAACGATGAAAGGGACGAATTGGTGTTTTCGGATGATGATCCAGAATATTTGATGGAGATTGATAATTTAATCAGACGTAAAGATGGAAAAATCCCATTCCTTGACATGGCTTTCAACCTTATATTCAAAAAAAGAAGAAAAAAGCCTGCAATCATTCAAATCGATAATCTAGCAACGTCAAAAAATGTTCACAATGATGAGAATTGTGATCGTATTGATCAAACAGATAATAACATTAAATATACAGCAGAAGATATCTTTTATGGTTCTGATCTTACAGAGATTGAAGAATCGACTAAAAAATCAAGAGGAAGAAAGAGATCATTTCCTAAAAATGCCAAAACGTGTGATAATAATAATGATGATAATAATGATGGTGACGATAATGGAGATGATAAGATGCAAAAAAATCAAATTTATAAGAAAAGAAAACTAAACGAATCAGCACAATCATCATCATCACCACCAATAATAAAACAAAAAAGAAAATATAATAAAGAACATCCTAATCTCACCATCACTACAGTCACAACTGCTGCTACAACTACCGTAATACCTCTTCCTACCACGCCAGATATGCCCGATACAATTGCCACTTCTACCTCATCGCAATCTGGTGGGAAAAAAAGTATTTTCAAATGTAGAGTTTTTGGATGTGAAAAGGTATTTAGCTCGTCAAGCAACCGTAGTAGACACCAACGTTTAAAGCATTTAGAAGATGACATTGATGATGAAGACAAAGACGACAGCAACAACAGTGATAATAACAACGACAACGATAACGACTATAAAGATGACAACAACAATAAAAACAAAAAGAACAAAAAAAACAAAAAAAAAAAGAGCAAGAACAATAAAACCTACAAATGTAGTGAATGTGGCAAAAATTTTGCCATCATTAGTACCTTGAATCATCACAAACATTTACGCAAACTTTAATTTTTTTTATTAATATAGTGCTAGGAACTTAATATTATGTATATATATATTTATGTTTGTCCATTCTTGTATATATTTTTAATATAAAATTTGCAGTGAATTTTTTTAAAGAAATAATATTGTTATTAAAAGGAAAAATCTGTAAATAACATATTAACAAATAATTACCTCGATTAAAAGATAGATAATTTTCCCATTTTAACTTTCTTAATTATATGAAAAAATGAGAACGTTTAGTTTAGATGAAATATAAAAGAGAATATCTAGTTAGAAAATAATAAAAATCCTACTTTGTAATTAATTATATTTGTGACTATTGCTCTAAATGCTACAAGTTGAAAAATAGATTTTTGATCAACCTTCACTTGAAGGCCCATGATAAATTAATGAAAATGTATTTAATTTAATAATCAGATGAACTGGCTATAAAAAACCCCATTTAATACAAAACATATTATGCGATCTCACATCTACCATTAATGATTTTTCTTTCAGGTACCAATGTCTTAAACAAAATACATGTAAAGTAATGAATTTATCCTTAAAATGGTTTCAGGAGAAATATAATGATTTATTAAATCATAAAGCCACTCCTTGGTCTTTTTAATCTATTATTATTATATAAAAAAAAGAAATTAAAATATTTATTTATAAATATTAATCCAACAGTGGAGTAATTAGATCCAATAGAGTAACTACTCTTCAGGGTTTGAATTATTTTTAACCAATCTTTCACTCATATTGTTCCAAATTAGTGGTTATAACCTCACCATCATTATTCAAATTCTCACTACTAAATAATAAATAAATAAATAAATAAATAAATAAATAAATAAATAAATAGTTTTTAAATGTTAATTGATTATCATTGAAAGAATAGTCTCAAAAGTCAACGCAGATTTCTATTTGAACTTTCTATTATATTTCTTGCAATTCTATTTATTCTTTCGTGATGAGCAATCATGAAAAGTGCAATCTTATTTTAATTATTATTTTTTTTAAAAAAATTAGTATTCATATTACCAAATCACATTCTCTAGACATATATTGTATGTATATCTCTCTTTTAAAAATCTTTATCATTAATAGTAAGTGTAGGTACTCTGACTAATAAATATCTACTTCTAATAGGTTCAATGATTTGACTTGTTGTATTATAGCAAAGAATTATTCCAAGCTTTATCATATATTTCCCCATTGTTTGACGTAATGCTTGCTTGTGCTTCATGAGTAAAAGATTCCACTTCATTAATTATGACAACTGGTCAAAAAAATACATACATGTCATAAATAAAAAAATTTAATATTAACGTTATGGTATGGTTTTCATCAAAAATTCAAAAGATTACCCTTGAATTTATGCCTGGTGCAATATCTTTGATTAGTTGTTGAATAACTATTCAATCATGAACTCCAACATCGCCAATGATAATTAATTTAGATGAAGAAGAGGAAATGTATTATTCGTTTAATCTACCTGGGCGATACTAATATGATAATTGCTTGCTATTATGTTAACTTCAAATTTCTTTATTTGAAGGTGGAGTTGATCTAAAGAAAAACAGGAGAAATGTTATCATAAAAAATATTATCATCACTAGAATCAAGAAAGGTTATTTAATTAAAATTAAATATATATACACTTAGAGAGCACCATCACCAAATAATTCTTGTAAAGTACATCCAATACGCGTCTTTTTTTACTTGCACTTGAAAGTTCATATGGAAAATCATCTGAAGAAGCCCATAATTTTTAAATAAATAGATAACATATTTTTTCACATGTTTATTCAATTTTCGGTCTAAAGATCATCAAGGTTTTTAATCTTTTTGAAATAACTTTTACATTATGACAAGCTGGAAATTCGAAATTTGGACTGGCAAATTCATTTGCATCATTAAATCCGCGTCCTCCATAACCAAGAAATTCATTAAATACATCTTTATCGATTGAGGAAAAGGTAGTTTTTCTAAAATTAACAAAAGTATCCATGGTTTAATTTTTTTGATCTAATAAATTTGACATTTGGTTACACAGTACACATCATACATTTTGTAAATGAATTTTCTACTGGGAATTGGCAATAATCATGATTTTTGACTTCGGTTCCAGTTTTTTTTTTATTCATATGATGATAATGGAGGTATGTGAAATTTTGGTTTTTTTTAATATAATGATAATAATGGAATTTTAATTAACTAAAGTTATTTTTAATAAATAACAAAGCAAATCATTAGCTATGCAGGTGAAGACTTTTGTAAATTAGCATCTAATACTCATTAAAGTTCATGGCACTTGATTAATTCAAGATATGCTCTTAAAACTTTTAAATTGTAAGTAGATCTGTTGCTTTGTAGCCACTTTATTGATGCATTAATTGACTGCTTCTAATGGATTTGGAACAGATGGTATTGCATTGGTTAAAAATGATAGAAGTTTCTTCAATTGGATTAATTTATATTCAAATTTAAATTTAAGTAAATTATTATTAGCAAAATGTTTACATAATTATAAATTTTAATATCCAAGTGGTACAAACATGCACATGATAAAGAGATGACAACACCAGCTTCAGCTCAAATGCTTTTAATTACCTTATATATGAAGTGATTCTTTCTGTATTATATTTTCAATATATTTAACTAGACTTGATGAAATGGTGAATGTTGAATATTATTTTCATTAACTGCATATATCAATCATATAGGAAAAGGAGTTGTTTATAGTTTTGATCAAGTTGGTTCATATGAACCATTGATTTGTTGTACTGGAGAATCAACAGCAACATTGACTCAACCTTTTCTAGATAATCAAGTAAAAAAATTTTATGCTGGTGATACATTATTACTATTACTATTATTGTGTTAACTGTATGTTATTAAAATTTTATCATAATTATTAATTGTATTTTGCATGTGCATCTAATTCAGGTTGAATTTAATAATCAACTTAATGTTGAAAAGTGTTATTATCACTTGATAAAGTGTTTATTATCACAAAATATGTGTTTACATCAGCTGTAGAAGGAGATATATACACTGGCAATTGTTTAGAAATATTTATCATGACAAAAGGTGGAGTTTAAGTTCAAAAACAATGATTTAAAGAAAGATTAAAGATTTAAATACGTAGGTAGGTAGGTAGGGGAAATGAATTTAAAAAGCAAAAGAATTATTTTTCATTTAATAACAAAAACAAAATTAATAATTTAAATAATAATAATTTATATGTAATAATAATTATATACATATATATATAATTATAACATTACAATTCCAACTTTTTCACTTGTTGTATCTTTACATCT